ATTTCATTCTGACTTTATATGTAATTATTATGAACAATATGTAGTTGATATCAAAATTTCTAAGAAAAGATCTATGTACATTGCTGAAATCTGTTCAGCCAAACTACAATTTTTCACTTGGATATCTCTTTAGGGGTATCGATAAAATATCCTGCAATTTCTCTGCTTATCTCTAGTCAGGATAAAAGTTATAGGACCTGATTCTATGAGAAGATCATGTCAGTATGCTTGGGTGAATGGGTACGAGCCTTTGCCACTGGAAGTTAGCTAGTTCTGCCTCTTATTTTTAGCATAACTGCTAGAGCCATTGTTAATTTCAATCCTTTGAACTAATTTCTCGAGATGAACTTACCCTCTTACCTTTTTTCTCCTCCTCTTTTTGGTGGAAAACAGAACAAAATCAGCTAGGGTCTAATGCAAAATACATGATTAAATGGTGATTGTCCTATTATGTTTTCCTTCCTAGTCACTTGATTGTCTAGAAGTGTGCATTTCATCTGACCTCATGCCGGTATTACTTGGAGCAGTAGAAAACTAACTTCAACAAAATATTTCATGCATTTTGACGGCAAAAATGTTCATATGCTTTTGTCACTAGGGGAATTTTTATTTTGTTATGTGCTATTACTTGAAGTTTTGCTACTTTTCAGCTTTCTTCAGTTTCTACTTTTTGATAATTCTTATTTTTGTTATTATGATGCAGTTGTTTAAATTTCTTCCAAGATTATCCCCGAGAGTTGCAAACATATTCCGAGAAATGAAACGTCACTAGTGAAAATGTTTGGTCAGCACCTTCAAGTATGATGCCAAATTTATTGGTTTCATCAAGGACGCTAAACTCCACCTTCCTAAAATCTTTTTGGTCCATTTTATTCATTTAGATGCTGCCTTGAATAGTTAGTAGCTCCCGAAAATCTTTGGTCCATTTTTCTTCATTTAAATGCTGGCTTGATAGTTGGTGGCTTCAGGTCAAGATACTACTTTTATTTTATATGAAAATGTAAGAAAGGCCTATCGTGGTTTAAATAAATTTTGTTTATGTGGATTTATGCTACTGAAGCTTATTTAATTTGTGAGCATGAAATGTGAAGGTTTATGGTTGATATCAACAAATGAGTACTACATAAAAATTCTCCTAGTTATGCCACCTTGTTATTTTGACAATGTAGCCTGTGATAGTCTCGTGTTAAATCAAGTTATCGTGAGTTACTATTCTGGCAAGCTCGGTTATTTTTCATATCTCAAGTGAAGCTAAATTTTTCATACTTTGTTGGTAGAATCATTTCTTTTATTGACTTGTTTATAGGGTCAATGATCCCCAAAAATCACGATTAATTAATGAAAATGAAACTAAATTTTGTTTATTATTAATAAGAAATGTAACAAGTTTATGTTTAGCAAGCTCACAGATATCGCAATATAAATTTTTATATCCTTAATTTTTAAATAATGATGAAAACATTACTTTTAAAATGGAGAATGATGGGTATCCAACTATTTTATAATAAAGACAAATCTTGTTTATGAGATCAGTAATAATAGCAAAAAAGGATCCTTCAGGTGCATTTAAGTACTAAATTCATTTTTCGATTTCAGTTTATCTAATTATCTTTTTTAAATTTGGTCTTGAAATTCACAATGAAAAGAGTCAAATAATTTAAGTCTTGTGATAGTTTACTTACTGACACAAAATTAATACACAATTTAGAAACATGTAATATATTTTTGAGAACGATAGTAAGACTAAATTTAATGTCGTCCTTATATATAATAATATTGAGAGAATCATTTGTAATGATAATATTTTTGTTACTTAAATTTTGAACATATATATAAAAATATTTAGAAGTATTGATTATATGACATACGACTCCTGAGTTTATAATCTAATAATTTTTAAATGATTTATCTAAAACAT